CGTGTGCTCTTCCGATCTCCCCAAAACCCCAAAACCCCATTACCTTGAATAATTCATTATCATAAGCATTAAACATTAAAATATTACAATATATTAATTTTACTTACGATACTTTCAAGATTCACTCCTGAGATTGATTACATCATTAATCTATTCATGCATCTAATGAGTGAACTGAAACTTTTGGAAGGAAGGGTTGAATTTAGCTATGCTTGTCATTATAGGCTAAAAAGTCTCCACTTTCTTCTTAGCCACTGGCGAATCTCTTCTTCTTAATGTTACGCTTCTTATCTCTCTTGTGCTTATTTTTCTAATTTTTGTGTCTAATGCTCTTTTTAATGGCTTTGCATACCCAGAAGAGAGTGCCTCCAATTATAACACCTCCGAGTACATAGAACATAACCAGGAATACAATTCCTTCGGTATGCTGCTCATTTATCTTGAAATCGGTAGTAAGTACTCTCTAGTATTCTCCATCAAGCATAAACTTAGTCAAAGTACCCTCACAGTTTTTGAAGCATGTTTATGCAAATTAAGTGTAGTCGATACAATGATCCAGACAAAGAAAGTTCACCTCTGCTTACTCCAAATCATTCAATACTTCAGTAATTCTTTGTTCTCTCTAAATTGGAATGTACTTTCCAGTCTCATCTCTAGGTTTCTAGCGCATTATTTCATACTGGAATTCAGATAAGCACCGGCAAATTTAGAGACAACCATCAATATCTTCGAAATTTATTTCTCTTGCTTCTGTGCATTATAATGCGCAATTAACATTACAGCTGTTTTCTAAGTTTATCAAATATTGATTGAACTAAGGATAAGTATAGTCTAAATAGCTTAATTAACATAAAATACAATGTTACATCTCTAAGCATTAGCAGTAATCCAAGCCATACTTTATAGTACAAGAGTTGAAAACAAAATCCTACCCATTTTAAATTGTACCTTATTATTATTATTACATTCAAATTATTTTGCTATCACACATCACTTCTAATTATAAAAGATTTTAAGCTATTGGGGTTTTGGGGTTTTGGGGTTTTGGGG